GAATTTTTTGGGAAAAGGCCGCATTAAATTCCCTTGTGTCTCGTTGGAGTGTGCCGTTCGAATTTAGTTTTTGTGAAGGAAAGACCAGATTTACACACGCCATTGCAGCAAACAAACGAGCAAACTCTCACAACTTCAAAACAAAAAAAATTGAATTTACTCACAATTACTTTCCTCGCCGTTTACTTAATGAACAGAGGTAAATCTTCGTACATGAATGAATCGTCGATGAGAGTGAATAATACTTTCCGTTAGATCATTGACTGATTTTGAAGAAAACATTGTCGTGACAGTCCTTGCCAAACTAGTTCCGTTGTTTTTCAAATGCTCTTATGCTTTTTTTTTTCTTACGCGCTCTCTAATTGACAGGTGTCAGATTGTGACAGATTCTTGTAAAAATAATGTTTCAAAGTTTGTTTGGAAGCCTTTTAAATCACCTTCATCGTTATGGAAAAGAAAATGTTTCGCTGAGGCATCTCTCTTTAATTTGCTTCACCTCTATTTTAACTACCATTTACTCACTCAAAGATTGTTCAGTTTATGGAAGATCTTGCCGTATTTACAGCCCTAAATCATTCGGGTTCTTTCGGAAAGAATTTCGTCAAGTTTAAAAGCAATAAATATGTTATTTACCGGCTAAGGGTCGGTCCGTATGGTGAAAAACTGTGACCTCGGTCTTGAAAATACTGCCCGAGGCCGTAGGCAAAATGTAGACTTGTTGAGGCCATATATATATATATATATATATATATGGCCTCAACAAGTCTACATTTTAACGACAGATGCCCTATTAGAAGAGTTACGTGTGACGTTATGGCAATGCAAACGACAATGAAATGGGAAGTTTTTTGTTGATTGCCGTTGATGTAAACATGAGGATTAAACTATAAATTCTTACGTTAATTTTGTAATGCAACATAACAACGAGAATCAGTTCTGATAATTCAGCACTAAGAATAGCAAAATTTGACAGAAAAATAGCGTGAGCTTGAATAACAAAAGAAAAAGATAGACAAAACTTTCGTACGAATAGAAATTTATTCTAGAACTGCTTACCCGGAATAATGCATTTCTAAGAACTGAAATGATGCAATGAAAAGCGAAAGGTCACGGGAAAAACCACTAATTACATATTTGCGTGTGTGTTATACATGGAAGCTGATATCACTCAAAAAAACAGTTCCGAAATGAAATTTTTACTCTGCTTTATTACCCACTGAACGTAAACGATGAAAGGAAAAACGGGATACATGCCCTAAATCCCTGAGTTGTTTTTTTGCCTGTGGTTTAAATGCAAAACCCGAACAATACCCATTTTTACTCCCCGCGGCTAAATATCTCAGTATTTTTACTCCGCTCACGTACATGATCGGTGCTCATCCGATCTCTCCACCATACAGCTTTCATTTCATTACAGCCACTTCTTTCCTCGTTCTTTCTAATTTCGAACGATATATGCACAATTGTTACTTTTCTTGTGACAGATATTCCTCAAAACTATTTCAAAGCGGAAGATAGATAGATAGATAATGAGGCTCCCCGTGACACACATGCAGCTCTGAAAATGTTAATTAGGAATTAAATGTAGTATCGCCCTCTAGCTCGTTTAAATACCTGCCTGCCTGCGAGAAAGAATTTGTTCAGTTATTGATTGTTTTTGAAGGAGGAATTTAGGCTCTCAGCTCGGCGAAATCAAAATTAGCCACCGTCCATCAAATCAATCTGAAGTTACGAATACTGGCTTATTTCAGTTTTCATCCGCTTTAGAGTTACAATTAAGAAACGCTTCGGGTGACATTTCAATTAATCAGGGTCCTTCATTGTGTCGAACCGACAAGTGGAAACATCAAATGATCATTGAATGTCGAAACATGACAAAATATCAAATAATTATGATGTCGCCCGGCCACACGGTTCGTTTTCATCGCTCGCTTGGTAGTAGTATGTATCTTAATTGACTTCTTTAGTTGGGGAAATTTTAGAGTTAAGATCAAAATAATAAATCCAATATATATGCTTATATGTGATATGCATGAAAATATCACCCAATAAAACAGTAATGTTTCAAAATGAAATTTTACTCTACTTTGTTACTTGCTGAAGATAAAATGATGAAAAAAAGAACAGGATACATGCCCCGAGTCATTGAGTTGTTATTTCACCCATGATATACATGCAAAACCTGAACAATACCCAATTTTTCCTCCCCGTGGTTGAATAACTCAGTATTTTATTCGCTTCACGTACGTGATTGGTGCTCATCCAATTTCTCCACCATACAGGTTTTATTTCATTACAGCCATCAGTTTCCTCATTCTGTCTACTTTGGAACCATATATGCACAACTAATGCTTTTCTTGTGACAGTTATTCCTCAAAACTTTTCCAAAGCGGAAATACGTGTCCACAAATATATAAATATCCTGCCGGAATTAATGTCACAACCGCATATTAAGAGCACATCCTTTTAAAAAAGAAGGTATGATTTTCATCGTTTTCTACATATGATTACACAGTAATTTCATGTTCCTAGCTTTCTTGTTAAACTGTAAATTTATGTTACAACGTCGGTGTAAAAATTTAAGATTATGACCACTTGAAGCGAACTATCAAACAGACAATTCAGCAATAATGAGGCTCCTCGTGACACACATGTAACTCTGCAGAAGTCAATTATCAAATAAATGTAGTATCGTCATCTGGCTCGTTTTAATACCTGGCCAATCAAGCGAATGCTAATTTCGAGAAAGATTTCGTTCAGTCATTGATTGTTCCTGAAGGAAAAATTTAGGCCATTGGCGGAATCAGCTCGGCGGAATCAAAATTAGCCACAGTCCATCAAATCAGTCTAAAGTTACGAATGCTGTCTTGTTTCAGTTTAACCCGCTTTAGAGTCAACATTAAGAAACGCTTCGGGTAACATTCCAATTAATCGAGGAAGGGTCCTGCATCGTGTCGAACCGACGAGTGGAAACTTCAAATGATCATTAAATGTCGAAACATGACAAATAATTATGATGTCGCCCGGCCCACGGTTCGTTTTCATTGCTCGCCTGGTAATCTTGAGTAATATATATATCGTTATTGACTTCTTTAGTTGGAGAAATTTAATCCAATAATTTCGGGGAATCCGAATTGGCCAAAGTCCAACAAATCAGTCTAATGGTATGTGGGCTTCCAAATACAGTGTTGCTTATGTTTTTCTAAAACACGTTTGAGAGTAAGCATTAGAAGCCGCTTACTGTAATCTTTTAGTCCTACATCATATAATAACATCTTACCACAACTGTTTTAACATACCTCTTTGTCGCTTGTTCAATATTTCATAGCTGGGCAACAGCCTTCAAGATGGCGGCTTCGGAGAGCAAAACAAACCAGTCAATTACAGCTAATGATACAAACAAGGTTGTTCTAAGAATTTGTCTTTCTCAAAGTGTTCTAAGTTATGTCACGATCGTTTTAACATATATTTAAACAGGCTATTCTATACTTGTACCTGGAAGATCGCTAAGCTAAAGCAGACGACTTCACGGGCTCAGTCAGATTCCAGAGAGTCATCAATCGGCACAATAATGTCGTTCTGCTGTGAATATTTAAAATCTGAATTAATGAGATGCGTCGGGTCATTAACATCATGCGATCTAGCTCGTTAAAAGCGGCTTAAGACCGCTGAGTCTTCTCTTGGAGCAAACTCAGCTGTCCAATAGAAGTTGTATGATGAAAATATTTGACGCAACACCAACATTTGGTGCCGCTTTATTTTCCTCTCTGACCAAACTATACACAAGACTGGATGTGTAAAATTAATAAATCATACCCTTGACGTAGTATGGTTTTCATTGTTTTGTCGTAGAGACAAAGTTTTGTGAAAGCCGCCATAATTTTGAATTATTTTATCTATTCATTGTTGGAAAAGATAATTTGTTTGTTAGAGCGACGGGCTAACGCTCGAATAGTCGCCTTTAAAAACTCTCCTTGATGGTCAATTTTCAAAATAAAATCAGTTAATAAAATCAAATTATCTCGTAATGGCCCAACCAACGCAACACAAAAGTTTCTCTAGAAACTAACCCCCTTTATTCATAGTTGGAAAAGCCTCATTTTGATACTTGAATAGCATTCGGATGTGTTTCTTGAATGTTCACTTGATTCATAAGTGAAACTTGGCGGTAATTAGATGACTCTGAGACACACATGTAGAATTACAAACTTGGAGATGTATTTGACTAGAGATGTATTTGACTGTAAGTTGTTATTGAACTTTTTCAAATCAAACACAGAATCAAGAAGCAAAAATTTTGTAACAAACCTCTAAAGCTGCGTTGTATATATGCATTTATCTTGTGAAAATTCTTTAGTGGACCCAAAAGATCGCGATTTTAATGTTTTCCTCTCCGTTATTGGCATTATACCGACTAGTATTTTCCTAACTTGACCAAACTGCGCGAGTCACTGTCTATTGAATCACATTGTATATGTCTCGCCAATAGATTTTATCGCACAAGCCCCTTTCATGAAAGACAATTAACCTTTTTTTTAATTCCGTTAGAGGAGGAAGATATCGTTTCTTAGAAGCTGAAACGGAACTTCTTTAAAGCTATCCAATAAAATGTTAGCTATGTATTGTGTAGGACAATTTAATAATCCTTTGCAAGAACAAGAAGATAATTACGCCTTAATGCAGTTTTTGTGTCTTTTATATATATATATATATATATATATATATATATATTTTCGTCATAGAACTGTGGTCTGACTTCCTCTTGATCTTTCGCAAGCAAAGTCCGAATTCCAGTTTAATTAGCTTTGGGCTCGTCTACTTCCTTATATGGAGCTTAGATTGTTTTTTTGAGAATCGTGAAAGGTAAGTCCATAACGTATACCAATGATGGCTTCGGCTAAGAGTTTCTCTGTTGTAATACTACTGGTGTTGATCTGTTTCCCTTCTGACTGTGACGCTTCGCGAAACGCCGTCGTTGTCGTCACGCAGCATGTCCAGTGAAAAACTGTGATATCACTTTATGGTCATACTGGAGTTATTGCAGTACAGACCAATGTGGACAGGAAGGCTCTCAAAGTCGATCAAGAACGATAGTATCAAAGCCAGCCTGTGGTGGAACAGAAAGCCCTGACAACCTTAACGAAACTCGGCAGTGCTACGGTAGTAAAACAGTTGACTGCAAACTGACCTACTGGTCAGAATGGAGCGGTTGTACAAATGCTTGCGGGGTATCACCGAATAACTATCGAACAATGTGGCGGCACATGTTCATCTTCCCTGACAAAGACACGATCCTGCCAGCAGACCGGCTGTTTTAATGGAGGAAGTCCTAAAGAGGGGGTATGTTTCTATAGGGCAGGGTTTTCCGTGAATACTGCGAGCTGCAAGGTAACTAGCTCAAGAAAACTTAAAACTATAAGCCCCGCACAAACACAAACACAGTATGTAAGTACCTCTTAATTTTGGAAGCCTATTTCGAACAGGAAATTTTTACTGGAAGTTTTAAAATTTAGAACAGAACTTGTCGAAATGTTCATGTGCATATATGATTTTCACGATTCAAACTAAAATCAGAGCTCACAGGCAGCGGTTTTTTTTTTCTTACTTAGAATGCTTAGGTAACCGCAGGCTTGCCTCTTGTAATAACACAAGTTGAAGTACATCGTAACTCACAAATTTCAGTGAAGTCTACAAATTATTACAAAATGAAAGAAAAAAACTGTAAAAATCGAGACCAACGAGGATCTAATAATTACGTTTTTTAAGCGCCCTTTCTATTGAAACGGTCGAGCGCATTCCCATCGATACCGTCGGCGAACCGCTTATGAATCAATTATTTGCGCTTCGGCAAAATCACTTACGTACTGAGTAAGGAAGTTTAGAGAATGTAGCGTGTGAGAGTTTTATGAGACAAAAAAGTCTCCCATACTTTCAAATAAGGAACTGAACTGCTGAAGGAGATAATGGTATCAACTTGATTAAATCTTGTGCTTACGCTAGTGAAATTGTGGCATTTGTTCAGTTTCATTACTTATTACACCTACAGCGATAATGAATGTCAGAAGTAAAGACACAAGATTTTTTTATCCGGACCTATCCATTTCCGAGAAATAATAACTTCATGTCTGTAACATATCTTTCCTGTAAAGGATGTTTTACGAATGCATAGACTACTGGTGATAGGTTCGAAAAGACAAAAAAGACAAAATAACCAACCCAGAAGAATATACGCGAAAGTACATGATTGGGTTCTTACAACAAATCGATAGTGCACCGGATTTAGGGAAACACAAAAATGAGTCCATTGTTCTGTAAATTAGAGAAAAGAAGCACTAAAATTGCGAGATAAAAGACCTTTATCAAAATTTTTCAGATGGTGAGCTTAATTGGATGTGCGGTATCTTACAAACGACGTAAGCCAATAGTATCGATTGGTATCATGACCAATAAAAGCAATGTGGATAACTTCGTTGCCAAGAATATCATTTGTCGTTTGACCCCATTCCAGAAGAGTAGGCAAATTGACAGAGCCCGTGTTTGATGCCAGGAGCATTAAAACACTCTTGTTGCAATCTTTGACTTGGAATGGTTATTTCACTCGATTTACAGTCAGTGGCATCGTTGCACCAGAAAAATTTGACGAGTAAACCCATGTTACGAGAGATAGACTTAAAATAGACATGTTGCGTGCAGAGATGCTAATGACGTCCGTCGCGGGTTAAATATTGTGAGTCACGTAAGGAATTTTGAGCTCAAGGGCCTACTAAAATGATGAATTAGAGATTTTGCCACACTTTCTTTGTAGATATGCTGCCGGTATAATATCCGCGCACATAAATTAAGCGCAAAATGTGCGGTTTTCCCAAAACGCATTTCCAGGACGTGTTTATGGCAAAGCTCACTCTGACGACAAGTGTCGTGGCTGAACACAATTTCACCGCTCGGCTTTCCCCTGTGTGATTGACGCTTGCATTTTCACTTGTTAAAATGCGACCGTATAAGCTCAATTATATTTTAATTTCCGGTCTGATGAAATTTGATTTTCCAGCCGATTTTTTCTAGCCGAAATTAAAATTGGTCTGTAATGCGACCCGGCACAAAGCGCTGGAAGTTGGATTTATAATGAATAGAAAATTACTAATTGTGATCAATGGTGACAACAAGAAAAAGGTAAAGCATGAAAGTATGAGAATTAAAAGGACAGTTTTACGTTTTCATGGTTTAATTGTTGATTCAAAGAGGGTGTGTCGTGGCTGAACACAAGGGTTCTTCTCTTTGAATATGAACAGCCCCTTTTATCTTATGTTGAAAACCGGTAGAGGCGTGATCATGGAAGCTATCTGCTGAACAAAAAGCGCGATAATGTTCAGAATCTTGCAGATGCTTGGAAATGTGAGAAGCCTTGTCACTGACTAGGTGCTCTCTAACACGCGTGGAAAAATAATTTAAAGTTTCGCCGACGTAATAGGCATTAAAGCCAGCACATCCTGGAAAGGGTCTTTCACACTGACTTGCAAGTTCTGACAGGTTTGAAGAAGACATTCTCATGCAGTTCACAATTTAAGATAAAATTTTGAAAAAAAGATGTGGAACGACAGAAGAGCTTTGTAGGTGGAATTGAGGAATTTTAGCAGCTAAGAGGTTGATGCTTTAGCTTCGGAGGTCGAGAAAACCATCATGTGTCCAGAGCTATCGCGCTTGTCGTCAGAAAATTCGCATCAATTAAACTTTTGATCTGTCAGTTGTTAAATAATATAAGGGTTTTTTTAATTATATTTTTTTGTTATACAGTGCAGAGAAATGAGATAGAAACATGTAGTATACACTTTATCCAAAGTTATTATGATGCATACCATTTGTAACAGGCGGAAATTCATAACATTTTCACTTTTCCTTATGCTGTTGCATTGGCTTGTGATGCTTCTCCAGTTTTAAGACAGCGTTGACAACTACGTAGCAAGTTTTTAGAATCATTGCCTTTTTGCAACCGTAACAGTGTAGTACGTTTGATTTAGATGTAGCCGAATCTTTTTTCATTGTAATCCCCGCTGTTAAATACAGGATATGTGTTTATGCAGGCCTAGTGCTCGGAGATGATACTATCCTAGCTTAACTTTATACTCCACATCGTAAAGAAGGTCCTTACTAAGATTCTAGGGAGTTCACCTTTTCTTTTCGAACAATATAGTTTAGTGAATTCCTTGATGTCAGGTAAAAACTGGGCCGCAGAGCTACGCCTGCATTATTAACCGTTGATACATGCAATCGCATCTAATCCTATCCGCAGCACAAAAACCGAATAGAGTATTGACTGCTTAAGCTTGCCATGACACTTAGTGTCTCATAGGGAACTTTCCATCCTTCATTTTCCGCCGTGTTGTATGGCGAATATGATTCCAAGAGATGTGCAACACGATCGCATATCCTGCTTGCTTCAGCAAATAACATATTTCCTTATCCTCTCTTGCTATTGTTGGAGTTTTATTGTCCTTTCAAACTAATTATATATGTCGTATGCAGGGGGAGATTGGCGTTGCGGTGGACTCGGGCCAGTTGACTGCTAACTTAGTTTCTGATCGGAGTGGGGTCCTTGTATGACGATGTGTGGTGTAGGTGGTGAGCAGACCAGCACCCGTCGCCGGCTGATTACGGAGCGGTGTGGAGGTACATGCCCCAGTGGATTTAACTTAAAAATAACACGAGCCTGTCGTCAGATCAGAGGCTTATATGGAGGCAGATTAATGAATGGTGCATGTGTATGCAATGAGGGTTATTCTGGTGATTGCTGTGAGTACGCTGAGAACACTAACAAAAGATAAAGTCCACACAGAAATATGCATAACTGTATATCTCTACAACGTTTCCTAAAGGAGTATCTTAAGGGGTAGGCATGACCGTTGACAACATAGTTTGTTCCAACAGTAGACGGTCGACAATTATTTTCGGAAAGACAGCAGTATATTAGTAAGAACCAACTAAACAAATTTTCATTGTGAGAAATTAAACCAAACAGTTAAGCGCTAAAACTGCAATCACCTCCCCTTTCTTGCATGATATTTTAGATCTACATCTTGCTTGTTAACTATGCTCAGATCACAGTATCATGTATTACCCAAACTCCTTGATGTTTTTGGTTGTCGGTTTTAAGGTTCGATGCTTCATAACTCTAGGTTTTTACTGCTTGACACTGAATTAAACGTGTAAAAGTAAATTCTAATTATTGTTAAAAAATTTTATCTTATTGCTTGAAAAGCGGCTAACCGATCATTCAAATCACTTTTCTGATGATCTAGGTCAAAGATACAGATACAGATACTGACACAGTCTCAATCAAAATCGAGATCTGGATGCCGGTGTTGGGAGTCGTAGTTGTTTTCGGCATCATCATCACATGTGTGTGCTGGCGTTATAAGAAATGAACCTAGGCCTCGAAAATCGAAATGGATCTATCCAAAGTTGCCTTTTTTACCTTTTTAAACAACATACTTAGTGTTAAGCTTAAAACGCTACAAGCGAGGTGAATTGAAACAGTAGTCAAATGTTTGTAGAGCTCCTTTAACTTAAATTTGTGTAAGGATAAGCCTTTGCCAAGCTACTTATTTTAAGGAAAAGTGAAAAAGTGGGCGAGCGAAAAATAATGTTAGCGATAGCCTGTTACATATTATACAAGGACTCGAACGGGGATTTTAGTCATCAATTTATTTACGCCCGAACTATATAATCAGCTAAAGGACTATGCTTATTTTTCTACTCTCTGCCGTGGTCAAACTACTAATGGATGGAGCCTTTAGTTGTGACCCCATAAACGCAGAGTTTTACGTCTTTTATTATGAGTTACACAAGCCATAGCTTTCTTTCACTACAAAGTATATTTGTCGTGAACAAATCAAAAATGAAATATTGCTACTTAGAAAAGGGGATCACCGACTTCGTTTACGAGCAAATGACAAATCAACTGAGCGCGAGTTCAGGACCTAATAACAGACGTCATTTTGTCAAGGAGCGCGCAACTCATGTGCATTATGCGCAGCAGGGATACGCAATCGGCAAGACTTTAAAATTAACAAGTTTATTGAATCTCCAAAAACTCCTATCGACACTGACGCACAAATGCAAAGTATCAAAACTTAAAAAGAGAAAATCGTAACCTTCATTTTGAAGTATTCTGCTCATTTTCCATGTAAATGTTGTTTGACCGCGGTGTACTCTGAATGAAATGTTATCAATGATAAAGCACGAGTGCAACGTCAATATCATGCTAAGCTGGTTAGAGTTCTCACTCGAATGATGGCTCAAGTCATCAAGAGGCGTTTAAGTA